ATGAAGAGCAATGGTTTCCAGGATTTGGGCCGCCTTGCCAGCGATAATATGTTTGTCAATCGAATCTATTTTTAGGAACGCGATTTATCAATAACACAATTGTTAAATGAAAATTGAAATACTTAATCTATATAAATAAAATATTTAAAATATATATAGATTCTATTGTATTAATAATAAAATATATGAATATGTGTATTTATTTAGGCTTAGTATAGATATTGAAATATTATGTGGAAGGGTGGAGAAAAAAAATGTTTGTTTGTATATGATTTATTTATATTTTGCAAAATCGATTTTGATTTTTTTAATGTATTTGATGTTTTTTGCGATAATTATATTATAAATTTAAGGGTAATAATGGAAATAATAATTTATTGGATATTTTATTTAATATTACGAAATTTATCGAAATGGATTTATGATTTATAATATTATTAAAATTAAACGATTTATATATATATATATAAAATATATAAATTTCGAAATTATTTGGTATTTATTTCGAGAAAGTCGATAGTGAAAAGTTTGTTTCGTTTAGAATTTTATATGATGAAGATAGAGTTTTGTTATTTTTGTTTATGGTAAGTTTTTATAATTTTAAGGTCGAATTGCTTTTTGATTTTATTTACGATTTTGATTCTATTCCGGGAAGTTCTTGCATATTATTTATATTTTTAGATTTTAATATAACATATTTTAATATCTTGAATTACGTCGAAATTTTGGATTTGTTTATGTATTGTTACGAATTATTGCTCTATAATTGTTTATGTATATGGGTGATGGATGCTAATTTTAGGTAAAATTGTTGGTTTGTTTAAAGGATCGTGGATTGGATGGATTATAAATTTTTCTTTTTTTTTTCTTGTTTCGTTTTCTTTTATGTGTTTGAGTACGTTGGTTTGATGAAGCTGGTTCTGTGACTGGTGTTTCATTCTTGTGATCCTTTGAGAACCCCATTGCACCTGACAGTAGGGACAACCCAAATTGCCAAGCTTAGAAGAACAAGAACTGCACGATCTAACACACTGGCCATTTGCACCTTGGTACTAAGCATGTATGGTAAACAGATCAAAAAGGAAGCATGAATAGTCAGATTGCAAAGAAGACATTATTGTAATCCAGATTGACTTCTGCCGCCCATGCACAGGAGAAGAGGACAGGTTAGAGAAAGTGGAGGAAAGAGCCATTTGGACAGCTTGGGAGGCACCAAGGAGGCAGGAAAGAATCAATTGGACAGCCTGCGAGGCACCAGCGAGGAAGGAAAGAGCCATTTACACCGCCTGGGAGGCACCAGGGGGGAACGTTGCACAGGATTGCCGATCGAATCCCGGTTTTAGAAGGGTGCCGGATCTTGTATAACTTTTAAGATAATTTTAATGGCGATCAGCCTAGTTCGCGGCAAATCCTGGGGTGGGCTCCACGATTGGCTGCCCGCAGCACAGCTTACGAAGCACCAGGGAGGAAGGAAAGGATCCATCGGACAGCCAACGAGGCACCAGGGAGGCACCAGGAAGGTAGGAAAAAACCATTTGGACAGCTTGGGAGGCACCAGGGAGGCAAGAAAGAATCAATTGAACAGCCTGCGAGGCACCAGAGCGGCACTAGGGAGGCAGGAAAAAATCATCACCAGGGAGGCACTAGGGAGACTCGTCGCACAGGATTGCCGATCAAATCCCGGTTTTGGAAGAGGTTCATGCGATCGTCACACTATGCCTCGATCGCCGACCCACCCTCCATTGCGCGACCGACATTAGGGTCCAGACACAGTGTGGGTCTTTCGCGTCAGAATGATTCGCCGCAAACGGATGATGCGGCACCTGCAGAATCCGGACGCCGCTTCATTGATGTTGTTCGCGCATCTTTGTCGCCATCTCGTGAAGAGCGCATGCTATCAGTTGAGTCGGTACGCCGCGAGAATGTTCGTCCAACTCAACCCAGTCTTCGTGGGTGCCGCCTCCATACAATGATCCAAGGAGGAAGGCCCATTGCCACACAGATAGATGAGATCCACGATCGAAGTCAGCCTGCCGATCGCCGACATTCCGGCGGAAAAGGCAAAAGAGCAGAGTCGCGCAATGCCGAAGGTCGACAGACCGGCAAGGGCAAAGGCAAGGACACAAACCGAGACGCAGGACCTCGCCCTAGCGCAATGGACTCAGCATTTGATCGCCCCGAATGCGGAGTTGGCTCAGCTTTTCCTTTGCTATTTGTGGATGATTTGGTCCGGCTTTTCAAATTCAGCAATGAAGCCTTGACCAATATTTACGAGAGCGAAATCTATGACCAGATTTCTCATGAGCTAAGCTGGATCCTCCCACATTGCAGATGGACACGTGCCGACCAGTCACTCACCGTTTTTGAGCTAATGGCCGGGGCACGATTTAGGAAGATGTTCAGCCAATGGGCATCCACGGAAGACCCTGTCTTCCCCATTGTGCAACAAGCTCAGCTGCAGTCATACACTTTGCTGCTGTTGCCTGCGTTGGCGCCACTGGAGGCTCGGAAGCAGTTGCGGGAGACTTGCGGCCCATGATGATCGCAGAGACTAAATATGCTCAAGCTTGTCTTTGTCTATAGTAGTGCGCTTGAACCAAATATGCAGTCCCAGACACAAATTTTCTTCAGACAAAAATTCAGAAGGAAAATGTCATGAAGCATTTATGAGCGAATACACACAGTCTGATTTGTCTTCAGCAAAAAATGCGAAAACATATTGTGGATCAGGCAGGTTGTTAATCACCCACTCAGTCATAAAGGCTTTGTATATCACAAGTGTGCGGAAAGGCGGGTAAAGATCAACCGGTCGTCTCTATGTTTCTTACAAGTTCATCCGGTTTTGCGGTGTGTTTTGTTAAAGGATCAGCGAGACAGAATTCGCTTGTAACATGATTTAAGTCGTCGATGTTAGCAGTGTTGCTCTCGTGTCTGAGTTTCCTTTTGCTCCGGGAGATGTGTTGTTTGTGCGGTGGTGACCAGGTTATTTATATCTGTTCGCAAGTGAGTAGGAAGAATCTTATCAAGGCTTTTAGCTCAGTAACAGTGGTGGACTGAGTGTAATGGTGATCTTGTGACTCTCATAATTTGTAATGGATCCACGTGTAGCTGAGCTATCCTTCTTCTCGGAATATCGAGAGTTGTATGGCTGACTGGACTTGTTGTTGTTGTTTCGATACGATGCATCAGGAAAGCCAAGGATCCTTCTATTACCCTTGAGAGGCCAGAAAAAATCGAGCATCCCCCTATTGGTATTTCATAATACGAACAACCTCATTGATCTCACGCACGTTACCAATGGTGGGACTTGAAGCGGCGGACGCACATCTTGAGAACGTCTAACAAAAATAAACCTGCGTTCGACTCTGCAAGCAACTAAGTTGGCCCAAGACAGAGCGATATGCTGTATGCATTTGAGAATTACAAACAACCTTGTTCTTTGGATGCTATAGAATTTATTGTAAGCATTTGATTATAAGAGATGTATGATCCTTGCGTATTATGATTTTTTTATATTGAGGAACAAGCATGATATCATTTTGTCTTCCGAGCCTAACGAATATTGGCAAGCACTTTGTTTGCAAAACCTTGTCTCCCGCCTTGAACAAGTCATCGACATGCAGACAAATGAAACCCTGTGGTCTCCGGCCTTGCGCATTATTCTGTGCCACAGGATCTGGCAACATGTCGATGGCTTCTTGGGCAGGATCATTAGACATGTTTTTTTCCGGTG